CTGATGGAGCGCTGATCGTGTGTCGACACAGCGGACAGGTGCCAAACTGCTCACAGACTCTGAAGTTGCAGTCTTTACATAAACATCGGTGGCCACAAGGCAGTGTGATTCTGGCCTCTTTCGCCATGCACACCACACAGACGTTATCTGTTGTAAAAAGAGAGAGATCCCAATTACATATGTGACATCAGGAAATGAGACCACACTATTACAACTGATTTCACTTTTATCTTCTCTGGTCAGAAATGTGCAACTGAAAACAGCCAAAAATGTTTGAAATGACTCTTTACCTTCTGGCATTTTTGTGTCAAGACAGGAGATGCAGTCCTCACGTCTGAAGTCTGAAACATCAGGAACTGAACGAAAGTGACTGTCAGGATCAGGTGAGGCGAGCGGTTCAGGTGCAGGACAGGATCTTCTACGGTAAAGCAGCTTTTTGTTTTTCTTGGAGTCTTCAGCAAAGAGAAAGGAGTATTTGAATAGTCATTCAGTCTATGAATCAGACAACATTTATAACTCTCAGAGCATGTGAATTGCTCTGCATTCACAGAACAGGAAAAACATTCTGTAGGTCAAATATAACCGTGGTTCTAGTGAACTTACCCAGCAGCAAAATGGAGCGCGTCTGCCCGTAGATGTCTATCATGGCCCACAGCGGCTGTTTAGTGTCCACTCCTGGTAGTCGCTCATACTCCTCGTTGTTGACACCTATGTATATGCTGCCATGAGAAGAAACCCAAAACTCCAGCTCTGAACCTGCTTGGCAGACAGATTCATCCAATGGAACAGCCCAGTGTCCGGACTTGTCAGTGAGGTTGGGGATGGACATGCTGGGCAGAGGCAGAGATCTGGTTGAGGGTGGCACAGTGGTAAAGCCCACACGCAGAGCCCCGTCCCAGATGGATGAATCCTTCTCTATTCTCAGACAAATCTTCTCCTGGATCTTCACTGGACGGTTGCTGAACACCAGCCCATTCTTGAAGGTGTTATCAGTCTTCTCTGCGAGTCGACCTCCATGACTCAAGCGGACCTTTTCTCCCACAGCCTGACTGTCGAAGGTCAGAGGACTGACACAGCGTGAGCTGCATCTGTGTGACACCTCTGACTTGCCAACTACACAGAATTAAATAAAACTTATTAGTGCTGATATAAAAATATTTCTTTGCATGTGATCAGATGCTTAAATATCATGCATACATTTAATGGTTTAATGGAAAATTAGTAGTCTGACTTACTATTAATAAAAGATAACTGAAAATAATGTGACAAGGTTTTCTGTCATGAGCTTATTTTACACCTTTAAGATGTTTCTGAAAAAGATTTTAGTGCAACAATAAAAGCTAATAAACTTGTAAACAAGTCGTAATAAAATTTGCAAACTCCTGTGCTTTCACTTTTGAGAATGATGTGACACTTTGGACTTCATCCTGATCATTAAATACAGTGAACTAAGTTGCATTCAATGTCCACTAGGTGGCCTGTGATTATTCATTGTTTATGTCTCACACAGTTATTGTGTTTGCACTTTATCT